GAACGGATCCACGAGACAATAAAGGGATCCGGATTCGAGGGCCCGAGTTGGATAAGCCGATAGAAAGAGAGGGGTCCGGGTAAATAGCAAGCATTAGATTTTGACGAGTGTAATGTTAACAAGTGAGGAGTTGTGATTGATAAGAGGGATAAGAGGGTAAAAAGTATGTAGATAGACACTGACAGAAAGAGGAGTGAGAGTGTAACCGTTTTCGGCAGAACGTTTGTCGAGGGATTGACTTTACTTGTCTCTTTGACGAGTTCTTAGTTTGTTGTGGAGAATGACAAAACTCACTGATGATAATGACTATAATGCCGGCGAAACGTTTGAGAATGCACCAAGTCAACTGTATGATGCTGGGAATCATGAAAACTACTCTGGCAGAGGACTTCGGGCAAGCCGCCCTGACAACAAACCGAGTTCCGACAACGAGATCAACCCACTTCTATAAATCGAAAGGAGACTGTAACCATACTGGAGGCCACAACATCTTGGTCTTCATATCTTTAAACGTATTTTTGCCACAACAATCAACTACATTAATTATTTTTCATATAGAAGTAGAGTTTCGAGACTACCAGTAAATCAGTTACATGAGATGTATCGGGGGGTGTTGATAAGACTTTTGCGAGGTCGAAACTGCAGTCAACACAAAATGAGAACAACTTTTATGAAAGCAAGGCTCTCGGAAATTAAATGGCAATGTCAGCTCAACTCATATCATTGTGGGAAAATTCAACTGCCAGTCCTTCATCACCTTAAATGAAATAAAGTGAATACATCTCAGTTACTGGTATCATCGACACTCTACTCATATACGTCTGCTCAGCGTAGTCAGAGGATGAGTTGGGCTTTAGTGTCTCTAACGTCTATCATCGCTGGCTATTCTAACCTACATTTCGATGCCACATCTGCTGAAGGTTTACAGGGACTTGGATCAGATTTCACACTCAAAGATACTCCAGACAGTCACTCTTCTCTGTTGTGCGTTCAACTCGTTACCTTTTTCATGTGCCCAAGCTTGCTCGGAGTAGTCGCAGACTGAAGAGATTTGTGAACAACACCTTGCCCTATGTTCCGGCCAGCCTGGTCGTCTCTTCGACAAGTCCACGTTCGACAGAAGCGAACCAGGGACCTTGTGCAGCAACAGCGCAAGTGTGCCACTGCTTAAGAAACAAAATATAAACTTCAATTACCATGCCTTCCTGAGATGCCATCCTACCCTTCCTTTTGTTTGAAAAGGCGAGCCAAAGGGGTTTGTAGATTCGGCGTCTCGGAAACTGAAGGAGAATAGTTTCGAGGTAGTTAATCATGCCGATTTATGCAAGCAAGTCCTCAAAGTGCCGCACTTCTGTCTCGACGAATTCGTGCTGACTACTTCACATAAATCCACAACGACGCCTGCAAGGCAATCCTGTCTTTTATAATAAAATTAAAAATACGACAACATAAATTTATTGAGGGAGCCTTGGAAACCAACTTCTTTTCCTATATTCTTGCGAGGTTTCGCCAAAGGAAGCTTGTACTAATGTCACCCGTTTCCAGGCCGTCTAGTGTAAAAACCTGGCCTCGCTCGGATAATTTGCAGATGCGATGAGCTTACGCAGTCAACCTCCAAGTTTAATCGTGTTTAGACTTCGGTGTGTGGTGTGTGGTTTGTGTTTTTTTGGTTTTTTTCCTGGACATTAAGTATCCAAAACGATACTTTCTGTCGTGCTAGACGTGCAGTTCAAAGGCGTTTCATCCACCTGACGATAAACAGAAGAATCTGTTGACCCTTCAATACCATGTTTGTACATGTATGCTCATGTGTGCTTGTACACCTATATGTATATAGATGCCTGGATGAGAATACCCTTCGGGAAAACAAGGATATGTGAAATGCCATGGAAACATAAAACCTACATATAACATTGTTTGAAAATTCCTATAACATTGTTTCATTAACTTAACGTAATATGGTGAGTACAGCTCTTATATCAGATTTAATGGTAGTCGCGAAAACCTACCTTCTTATAAATGGAAAATGTGGATAGGCATTGCTAAATTTAGTGATTTGGTTGGATTTTTTCCACACTAGTCAGGTTACTTATACTTGTGTGTGTGTGTGTGTGTGTGTGTGCGTCAACGTCTGTATGCAGGTAAGCCAAATTACGCAACAGCGGTTATAATTAGGATTACTTACAAAAGATCCTAATGCCAGTTCCGGTTTGCCGAGGTTTAATTACCCAAGCAAGAGCGTAAGCCGGAAAGTAACTCTGATTGAGATAGTGGAACAGAGACCTGTAAGAGTGTAAGTCTTGGGGCCTACTCGTGAGGCCGAGGCTAAGGAATTTTTTCCGTTGAGCTAATCTTTGGTGGATAGGCCAACAGGCTTCACCAACAAAAAGTCGGCAAGAGAAGCGCACTATTTCGTAACAGCCGGATTTTGATAAGGGGCCATATTTCTCTCTATAAAAGGGCATATTCGAGAAGTGTCCAGGTCTCTTTGAAAACTGCTTTCATCCCCCCCTCTTTCAATTGCTTGCCTATCTTCTTAGAACGAAGGTATGACGGGAAGAATGAGAGATGAGAAATGGTATCAGTTTGCCTGTCCCTGACTAAATAGCCCCCGTCTAAAAAATTAATCTTCATTTAAGAGAAAGTAGTATCAATTAAGCTCAAATGATAATTATTTTTCCAACTCATTAGTCATTTAATTTCTATCAATAAACCTTATACTCCTAATAATCATTGACTTCGAATGGCAACTTTCGTTTTGTAACTATGGTTAGAGAGAAAATCTAAAATGGAGCCAGCATATAATTGTTCCTTCTAAACGTCTCAGCCTAACTTATCATCTTCCCTAATGATAAGAGCATCCAACAATGGCAAACAACTATTTTTTTCGTTTATCAATAATCAAGTCGATCGCTACAGCAAATAAAATTCGGCTTCAGCGACAATCCCACCACAGATTATGATATGGGAAAAGTCCTGGCCTTGCTTGAAATTCCTATCTACTCTGCGACCCAAGGACACTCGCGACAGTCTGGCGTAGCGGTTAAAGTGTCGAGATTATACGTTGTACTAACAGGGTTCGAGTCCCGCTTTGGGTGTTGATAAGTCCTGTACGAGGTCGAAACCGCGCTCCGCCCCAGATGGTGCTACCTTTCGGGAAGCAAGGCTGTGTGAAATTCAGTGGAAACGTAAGGCCTATGCATTTCTTTGCGGAAAAAAAATCCATCTACCATTCCTTCATCATCTTACATTTAATAGGGTGAATACATCTCATAAACTCTTATTTCATTGTAAACCTACCATCTCGTTCACGCTGGTCAAGTGAAAATAAGAAACCATCCAATCTTTCCTTACCTTGCTGTCAAATGCCAAAGCAGTCATTCACAAATCTAGCAAAATATTTCGGGTCAGAATTGCCTCTTACATCAAACGCTCTTCAAAACTTGGCCAGATAGTTATTCGTCAAAAGGTGAAATAAGCACTCCTTATGGATGGGTTAAGAAGTCTTCGATTGGAGGCTATATTCAATCGATTCGCATCTGTAATCTCCGGACGCTGCTTCAAGGAAAACACTAGAGCCTGAATGGGTCCCTGAACCAGAATGTTAGTGTACATAGACACTATATCAAGGCTTACAAATATACATTTTAGACCAAAACGACTAATGGGAGAACAATATTATAAGAAATACACGTTTTTTTATTTATCAGAAAATAAATTTTATATGTAGAGATTGTTTGACCTTTTTTTCGCAAATTGGTCACATTGGTAGGAAGACTTAGAGGAACGCATCTCGTCCGGAGTACATTGTATGCATCATTATTTCCGGAATCGGACCGTGGACGTGTTACATTCCCAGACGTTTCGCCGGCACCGTCAGTGAGTCTCGCCATTCTTAGCACCACACCACAACTCGTCAAAGAGACAAGCGAAGCCGATCCTCTGACCAAACGTGTGTTAAACAGTTGTGCTATCTCCCCTTCTGCCCTGGCCTATTCACATTTCCTGTATCCTCCTATCACACCGTCACTGCTACAATTTGTACCGTGCTTGATTCGATGTCATGTGGTGTGCTCCTGTGGGCGGCATTCATGAAAACCCTTCACACTTCACACTGTCTTTCTCACCCCCCTTCATCCTTGTGTTGGGAATGTCGCTCAGAGTCTGCAATATCGTAACGCAGTCCTCCTTCCCTAGGTCTTATCACAATTTCTCTCTTGCCTCGTAAGATCCGTCTGCTCTCTTTCTGGTTCACGTAATACACTCGACCCCTGCCCCTCCATTTGGGCTAATCGAGGCGTAAATTTCTTGGTTTTAGTGTAGCGTGGAAATTAGAACACACCTACGTGGGGTACTGTTGCCGCCAAGACGAGGTTGTAACCGAGGTCAAGGCGATGGGATAATGGCTTCTTGTGTCCGGTATGAGTATATTTTGGTACTAGCCGTTATTGTGGTCCAGCAACTTGCTCAGTCTCAGGATGCCATTGAATTTCGCACAGCCTCGTCTCCCAAAAGGCAATCTCACCCGAGCTGGCCGGACCGGATTGAACTGAACTAGACTGAACTTTCCGATGTGGCCTCGTCCCAGCGTCGCGTCAGCACCCCGACGGGATTGAATAGAGGCTCGAAGGGGATGGTGCCAATGGGCCGAGGCAGGCTAGGCCCTTGCAAAATCACACTTTCCTTTGGTGGGCGTGTCGACTAAGCAAACAGGCATTTGTCATCTGAAGAAAAAGTGGGTTTCGAAGACTCCTTCAGCGCTACCTTGTGGCAGGACTTGGCATCTGGAAATAAAAGCTAGTTTGGAGGACCACGTCATACCGTCCGACGGGAGAACGAAGGCGGATTGACTGACGTGAAGGTGAGATGTCTGGGTCGTGCAAACAAGTTGTCCCTCGGCTTCAGATGAGACCATTTCACGCATTCCTGCCAGCCAGCTTTTCGTGCGAACTTGAATTTCCTGTCACAAAGTATTTGCCATTACCCCTTTTTCGGCATAAATGCGCTTCGCGACTGTCGGCCATTTTGGGATAGCGTCTCAATCGCAGGCCTCTTCGGCTGCATGCAGCCTCGGAGTTCACGTTGGCGCAGCAAACGAGGCGAGCCGAGTGGACGTGATCGATACGTTGACCTCACTGCACGAAGAAATGAAAGGCACGCCAGCGTTCAAACTGCTAGTGCAAAGGTCCAGTTTCCTCGTGGACCGAGTAACTATCGATTTTGATGAGGCTACGCAAAACTGCTGAAACTTGCCGCAAGGTCAGAGCCACGCGAGCAGCGATCGCGTTAGCGCCATCGATCTCCCCGCCTCAGGTAGACTTGAGATGACTCAGATGGCCTCGACGTCCGAACTGAGCCTGGGCGTCCTGAGCAAAGGGAGAGAGAAAGCACTCGATTGTGTGCATGCGAGAATGTGCTTTG